GGTAGAGAAAAAATCGAGTTTACACAATATGTATAATTCTTATACTTGTGTATTCCAGTAATAAACTACACAAGTGGTTTACCCATACTTACATACATATTATTAATGTTTTTTGTCTATAAGTGTGTTTTAGTCTAAACTTGCATTTTGATCAAGTTGTTTCAAAATTATCATCTGAACAGTTCTTACAAGACTCTGTCGGCTAGTCGAGATAACTTAGGTATTTGTAATAGGTACAAATATAAATAATACAGGGTGTAAACTGAAAGCTACCAAAAAACCCTGATAAGTGTTTTTTTTTAAACGTTGCCCCACATTAGGATTTTCTCCTGTGTCGTGGATGCGTTTACAAACATACACGTTCACATACACATGACACCCAGACTCAAAACAACGATCTATGGATCACACAAAGAGCTTTACCAAAATAAAATTTACTTTTTACCATTCGACTGCACTCGAATAGTAAAAAATAAATTTTATTTTCATAAAAGTAAAGAATTAAATAATTATTTTATGTAGAGGTAATAATAGTTGTCAACTCCTCAAGGCTGTGATGTTGTATGAGTAACACGAAAACAAGAACAATTAAAATTGTAAAATCAATTTCTTTTGTCAGCGTTCCGGGAGCGTTCCATTAACAACTTGTATTTGTTCAGCATATCTCAACTGATGCATATTACCACTACGTCAAACATGGTAACATAATCTATATACTTATAACTAACTACTTCCGCGCGGTTTCTCTCGCTCTGCTCGGTGCCTATTAATCGTAGCGTGATATTTTAGCCTGTAGCCTTCCTTGATAAATGGGCTATCTAACGCAGAAAGAATTTTTCAAATCGGACCAGTAGTTTCGGAGATTAGCGCGTTCAAACAAACAAACAAAAAAACAGCTCTATAATATTAGTATAGATAAAATCGTAGAAAAGTCAAAACTGTAGGTACATTAAATATTTTTTTAAAAGAATACTTGAGGCGTGGTCTACAGTCCATACTGAAGCCAAAAATATGGCTTTTAAAATTGTTTGTCTGTATGTATGTCCGGGATGATCTCAAAAAGTACTGAATGGATTTACTTCAAATTTTGTATGATTATTATTAACGGGTCGGGTCAACATATAGGCTACATATTATCACACTATCACCTACGGGGTTTGCGCAGTGAATCACTATTCCACTCGAATTAAGTCGCGGGCACATCTAGTCATATTAACAAAATCAACGATCAGAAAATTTATAACATAACATAA